ATATATATATATAGATTTTATAAGATTAACAATCCCCGCCCCCCCCCCCCCAAAACAATAAGTTCAAGTTAGAATAAATTGTGAAGCATATTTTTACCCCCTTTGCTCTCATATTAATAGAACCCAAAGCCTACCCACAAGGGTAATATGGACCTTTGGTTTAAAAACTAAAAAAACGAGAATGAAAAAAAGGAGGGAACTTTGAATCTTTCCCTTCACATTGTCTCTCTTCTCTCTCTACTCCTCACACTCCCCCAAGTGTCTCTCTCTCTCTATACCTCACCCTCCCCAATCATCTTTCTCTCTATCTAAAGCAAAAGACGGTTCTTTTCTTTCTCTAAATCATAAGTTTCTCTCCATGTGATCAAGGTATATCTCCTCTGGATCCTATTTTGAATTTTGGGTTTGAGGTTTTGTATCCATGGCATTTGCATGAGTATTTTAGGGTTTTGTTGTTGTGTTGTCTTGTAGGCTTGCTTTCGATTTGCTTGTTCCATCCTATTTATCCTTCTATGTGATATTCATGGTTTGGGTTGTGATTTTGGTTTTATCTATTTTTTAATATATGTTCCAATTTGTATGGATTTATGCTTTACTCGATTTTGATTAGTTTTTTATTCTATAGCTTGTTGTCTCGTCTCATTGATCTATTCTTTTCGTAAGTGTTGCAGTTTTAATGAGTTTTAGGAATTATTTTTTTTTCTTTTCTTTTTTTAGTGGTACATTGAGAAATTTATGCATGGTATTTTAACTATGATTTACCAAAATTCAGGTTATAATGGCTTTAATTTTGGGCAGCTCTATTCAAGGCACAATATAGTTGCAATTTTAAGGCATCAAACAATTTTTGGCAGCTCTACTCTTGGCTACAATTTTGGGCAGCATTGTTCTTGACACAATTTTGGGCATTGTTAATGACTGTAATATGCTTTTGAACTTTACAATGATAATCAGTATTAGGAAACAATATATAATCTGCCTCTTATAATTCTACAATTTTCATTTGAGTTGGCTGAGAGTTTGGTTAGCCAAAATATATATATATATATATATATATATATATATATAGGAAAACGATCCTAAACTCCCGTTCACGTATGGCTTTCTTGTGCGCCCAACAACAGGGATAAGTCCTGCCTATTTCAACGGTGATGCCTGTACCAATGCTCGACATTAACCTAACATTCGCAGGCTATTGGAAAACGCAGGCCCTGACATTCGCAGGCTACTAGAAAATGCATTCCTTTAGAAAATGCATGCCTCTCTCTCTCTATACCGGAAAACGCAAGCTTCTCTCTCTACTGAAAAACAGAGGCCTTTCTCTACCAGAAGCAAGCCTCTCTCTCTCTACTGGAAAACATAGGTCTCTCCTCTCAACTGGAAAATGCAGGCCTCTCTCTCTATTTCAGAGTAAAGCTCCCTCCTCACAGTAGCATGCATCTCTCTCTCTACTTCAGAGCAAAGCCCTCTCTCACATCCTGTCTCTCTCACGCCAGGACCATAGACGCATGCCTCTCTCTCTACTTCAGAGCATTAGATTGATCCTCACAGACGCATGCCTCTCATCTCATCCTCTTTCTTTCTCATGCCAAGACCACAGGTACTCTTCCTCCTCGCTGTTTTAGGTCAAATCTCTCATTCTCTTGGTATAATCTTTTTCCTATACTCTCTCGCTCTTACTCATCCCACACGCCACACCCTTTTCTCTCTATCTTCTCATCCCAAATGCCATACGCTCATGTCTCTCTTTCCCTCAATCTGATGTGCATTCGCATTTTTCCCCTAATTCTCTCCCAATTGGTAGCCCTCTCTCTTTCCCTCAATTTGATGTTCTGTCCTTTTTTTTCCCCTAATTCTCTCCCCATTTGTAGCTCATAAATTCAATCAAACAAGAGGAGAAAAATCCCATAAAAAATTGAAGAAAAAGACACACTGGTTCAATATGTGGTTTTGACTAAAGTCCTCATTGATTCATGGCTTCTTGGTGGTGTAGTAACTCTGGTCGCCACGCCTCTGTTTTAGCCATTTAGTGTTAAGAGATGACCCATTAACTACTCCATATTGTGGTCCTGATAATATTGATCATATGCATAAGGCCTCTCTCTATAACATTTCCCATCTTTGACATACGCACTCTCTCTGTAATCCTTCTCTTATTGTCTCTCTCTATAACAAGTTCGATGAGTTCTGTGAAATGTTTAATAGGTTTTATGATTTCTGTGCTCTGGGATATGGTTCCTCAAGTAGTGTGATTTATTATTAGTGTTTTTGCCATTAAATTTCAATATTTTAGGAGAATTTTAGGGTTCTAAGATTTATGATAAGTTTTATGAATTTGTCTAATTTATGCCTACAAGAAACAAAAAAAAAAAAGGTTTTTGTTGCTTATTGTGGTGAAAACTATTTCTGATAATGCTAGATGAACTAATCTTTGGAGTAATCCAATAATTTATCATGGTGTGTTTTTGTACATTATCAAAATTGAGTCCAAATATTTGTCGATGATACACATAGAATAGAGCTTCAATCACCTTCTAATATTTGATATATTAACTATTAATTTTGGACTGAAGATGGCCCAAAACTTTCGAGCAACAAAATTGAACTTGAACACCACAAGTATAACTAATTTACAGCTATATACACTGAGTTTGATATTGATGTAGTAGCTTATCATGCTATAGCAAAATGATTAAGTAATGGTTAACATGTGTTATTGAAATTCTAAAATTGTACAACATAGTTGCTGTGTTTGGTACAACATAGTTTTGAAAGAGCAAAACAAATAATTCCCACACCTTTAGCTTCAGTTTTGCAACTTTTTTCTCATCACAGATATCCGAGAGCCATGCCTACAATTATAATTTAGGAATTCAATTGAGTTATGTTAATAGAAAGAAACATCTCCTTGCACATAATATACACAACTAAACTATGATAAAGTCCCTTAAAATGGAACTGAAATGGAATGTGATGGGTGTCTGTAATAAGGCTTGATAACTAATTAAACCTAACGAAAAAAAGAAAAGAATATGCAAATTGTCAAATCATTTATTAAAAAATATGTGAAGTGTTGAAATCATTAATTGACAAATAAAATGTGATTTGTGTAGGGTAAGTTTAGTACTTGAGATGGACCTCACCATTTCAGAAAGTGTGGCATCTCGCACATGGTCAGAGGATGACAACATGGGGGATACTGTAGAGCCCATGGAGCAAGATCCCTTGGTTACAACCCCACCCCCGAATAAGTTCACAAATCCCGAAAACAGGGTGCGTCATCGTCCAAGGGGTCAGAAATAGAGGAACCCTACATAGGAATGAAATTCAATGTTGAAAATGATGCATTTGAGTTTTACAAGGCTTTTGTATTGATGCATGGGTTTGGTGTAAGAAAGGGAACTAACAGCAATAAGGATGGAAAGAGAACTGGCAGGGATTTTATATGTTCAAAAGAAGGATTCTGTAGGGTGAAAGAAGTGCTGCCTACAAAAAAAATCCCTCAGTCAAGGTGTGAATGTGCAGCGAAGATGTATGTAAGAATAAATGCCAACAATGAGTGGGTTGTCACAAGGTTTGTTAAGGACCACAATCACGACCTTGTATCTCCAAGGAAAGCCCGACTCATCCGATCGCATCGAACAATATCGGATATGACAAAGACAATGATAAAATCCGTGAGCTCTGCTTTGGTAAAGTCTCATAATATCTCTGATATCCTTTTAGAGCAGGCTGGAGGGATTGATAATATCCCTTGCTCACAAAAAGATATTGAAAACCAATTAGGAAACAAGAGAAGAAAATTCAAAAGGGAAGATGGGAACCATGTGATTGAATGGTTAACCGATATGAAAACATCAATGTTTGAAGACATTTTTCAGCGCCATGGGTCCCCGATGCTAAATAAAAGAGAGAAGCCGATCAATAAAGCTTGACAAACAATGAAAATTTCGACAGTCTCAGAATGACATCAGAATTGGTCAAGATCTTCATAAGGACTCCTAAAAGCCTCCTGTCAAGTTTCGTTGCATTCTGATATCTTTAAGGTAGTGCAGCTTGAGAAACAGTTTCGGCAGAATCAGCCTCTAGCACCCTAAAATAGACCCCTATAAGTGGAACTATACTTTTGGAGCATCAAATGGCCGTGGGACCACTGCCATTAGATCCGTGATGGTTGAAAACCCATAGGGGTCAAATTTCAGCTTAAACAGACACTCCAGAAAGAAGTTATAGGTACAACATTAAAACAGGACGAGCCGCACACTATTCTCGTGAGTTCACCCTGCAACTAAACTCCATTAAAGCACAATCACAAATAGTGAACTTGCGACTAAAGCACAATCACAAACAATGAACTTGCGACGTTCATATCTCGATCATCCGAGATCGGATTGTGATCAAACTTGTTGGAGCGTGTTCGCCTCGTTGGAACGAGCATTTTGATACGTGGCACGTTCTGTGACGATGTCCGAACAAGGAGAAAAGCTAGAGAGAAGTTCTTGATTTGAAGCCACAAGTTGTAAAAAATCAGCAGAACCTCCACTCACTCGAGTGGCCATATCACAAAGCTTGCGACCCGATCGACGTAATACCAGTTGTATCGCGTGCATAAGGTACGTTGCTATCATTGGTTTGAACCTTGTGCGTGATGAACGGTCGGATTTCACATAAGATCAAGTCGAAGTCATTGCAGATTATGGCAGCCGAAATTCTAAATTTCAGTCAAAAGTTCAATATTGTCAAATCTTCGTTAGGGCACCAAATGATGTACCGTATGTCGCAACATGATCGTGGTAACATGCTCATTGTAATTCAGCGAAGAAGGCGAATAAAAACATCAAGATGAAGAGGCACTATCAATCAAAAGTTTCTAAGATCTATTCAAATTTCAAGTTACGTGATCATGCCTTTAAAGTGTGATTCATGGCTTAAAATTGATATTAAAATGATCGTAGCATCGAGCCCTACACGATGACAATCATCTTTTGTTCATTCGGATACCAGATTTTCAACGTCCCTAGTTCTCAGCAGGGACTGTTTTTTAATTTTTCCAATTGTTAGGCATGGGCAAATCAGCCATTTTGTGCCCTATTTTCTTATTTTTTTTAATTCACATAAATTGTAATTATCCCCAATTAGCATTAGTTTGGGTAATCTAACCACGTTTTAGCCCTAGTCCATAAATAGACGCTACCTCTCATTGAAGAGGGACCTCTCTTTTGACTCTCTAGAAAATCATTGTACATGGACCTTCGATCCTGCTTTTTGATCATCAATAAAAGTTGGGGTTTTTTCACTTGAATTTTGGACTGCACGTCTTGGAGAGAGAGAGGAGAGAGAAAGTTTAGAGCAGTACCCCCTATCTTCAAGGTATTTTCTCTCTTCAGTTTTTCTTTTCTCTCTTCTTTTTTTTCTTCTTCTTCGTCTGTTTTCTTCTTCTCTGCTGAGTCTTTCTTAAAGGCCATGCGCGGTAGTGGCAGTGCCGTACATGCGTCTTTCTTTCTTTCTTCTCCCTCTTGCTTTCCTCTCCTTATTCTCTCTTCCTCCTCCTACGCCTTAGCAGGTCGTGCATGGCGAGCGCCATGCGAGAACTTTCTTCCTTCTCTATTCGTTTTTCTCTTTCCCTCAACATAGTCCACGCACGGAGTTAGTCATTGTTATGCGTAGCACCGTCTGAAGGAGCACACGGTGAGTCGGGCCTTACTCATGCAGCGGGTCAGGCTATTGTTGTAGTTCCTGGATTGGTGCCACGAGCGGTGATGTGTATCGCCGACCGTAGACTATCTCTCTATCCTCTTATGGGTCGCAGACGGCGATGCCTATCGCCGCCCACAGGGGTCTTCGCGCCTAGACGGCGATGCTTATCTCTGCCCACGGGGGTCTTACCCTGCTTCGCGCCTATCGCAGACAGCGATGCTTATCGCCGCTCACGAGGGTCTCACCTTGTTGCTCGCCCATCGCAGACGGCAATGCTTATCGTCGCCCATGGGGGTCTCACCCGCGCTTTGCGTCTATCACTGACGATGATGCTCACTGTCGTCCGCCGGCTCTCTTTTGCGCCATCTGCCTGCCGCAGACGGCGATGCCTATCATCTCCCGTGAAGGGTCGTTGTTGCCTTCTCGTGTCACCGATGGCAATGGCCAACATCGTCAGCAGTTCACAGCTCACCCCTCCAACACGAGCAGCAGTGTCCAATGCCATCTAGGGGCCACGACACTATTACTCTCTAGCTGTGGGCGGCGATGCCTAATGCCTTCGGGACCTTCTTACGCCATCTCGCGTCTTCTTTTCATTCTCTTTTTTTCTCTTCTCGCTTGACTAAAGTACAGACTCAGTCTAGCACTATCATAGCGGTCTGGATGTCGAGCAGTATTGTCGTCGTGCTGGTCAAGAGAAACATGCACGTTTTGTTGCCACACCAAATTAGGACGGTCATATTAGCCTAGTTTTGAGTAGTATTGCCATTGCGCCGGTCTGAGTTACTGTGCCTGTCTTGCTACCACTCCGAGTCGATCATTGTACTGGTCCAACTATCATGCTAGTTTTGTTCCCTTGTCAAGTCTTCTTTACTTTTGTCCCCTTATTCAAATCTTATTCTT